TCCACTTCGCTTTCATATTACACCCTTACTTAACCTGTATGATACAGGCGGTATGTTTCGCTTCACTACACTTTCTACAGCCTGTACGCCAGCTCAACCCTGGTGTTTCGCAAGCCTCGTTATCGATCAGGCAACTTGAATAACTGGAGAAATGACGTCAGGCAAAAGCCTGCTCGCTGATTGGCTGATTGGCCCGTTACAGCTCTCTGATTGGGCGCAACGATTTCGTGTTTCGCGATGCGAGCTGAAGAAGCAAGCGGTACAGGCGGTGAAGTGTAGTGAAGCGGAACCGGAACCGCCTGTATCATACAGGTTACACTTGTTGTAGCCTTGCCAGATGACGACGCCGTCGCCATGGCAACCGACGACCCCCGTCGCCACGGTGGCCAACGACCCCGTCGCCACGGTGGTCAACGACCCCCATCTCCCCTCGGAGACATCGTCTGCTTTCATTGCCAACTTCCTTTTATCCTATATATATAGATATATAAGGTTTAGCACCACTGTGAGCAGGCAGCCGCAACATCTGAATCTGCATCTGTAGCAACATCTGCAACATCTGCATCTGTAGCAACATCTGCATCTGTAGCAGCAACAGCAGCAGTAGCAGTAGCATCAACAGCAGCAACATCTGTATCTGCAGCAACATCAACAACATCAACATCTGCATCTGCAGCAACATCAACAACATCAACAACATCTGCAGCAACAGCAGTAGCATGCAGTAGCAGCAACGTCTGCATCTGTAACAGCAGCAGCAGCGGCAGCAGTGGCAGCGGCAGCAGCAGCAGCTTTGAGACATTGTCCGCTAGCGTTGAGACGAGCACGGCGCGCGTCGCTCGACCTTTGACCCCAACTTCGCCCCGCTATCCCGCTCGCGGGTTTTGCGTTCTCTCGATCGGCAGACATCCTGCGCCATCTATGGGGGTTTTGTATCGGTGCCATCAACCAATTTGTGATCTACTGATCTACCTACGTGCGTACACTCCGATTCGAGACCGAGGGTCAAAGGTGGGTCAAAGGTCATCGTATATCTGTCGAGTGGCGAGCGAGGTCACGTGCTCACCGCAGTGCATTGTGGGTAGAGCGTAGCGCTGATTGTGGTAATGCTAACCGCAGCAATTGCAGGGGGCGCCAGCGTGCCCCGCGGCGACTCGCGCACTGGATGTATGCGTCCAACCTTATCGTTATTATAACCTTAGCATTTGTTATTAAATACTCAAAAGTCAGAAACGTCGGAAGCAGTAACGATCGATCGGTGACCAGCGGCGCGATTTTAATTTTTGATTAATGAATCGAGATACCAATTATCGCCGTCATCGGCGGCGGCGGCGACGGCCGAAATCTACTTTTATAAACTAATCTGAAATGCGCAGGTTATTTCCCTGCAAGGCGACCCCCGGTGACCCTGGGGTCACGGTGAAGGTCGTTGCCTCGCGCAGCTGGTCATGGTTAGCATTACTCTTCACTACCAAGTATCGGGATCACGCACGTAAACACTGGAGCGTCTCGAAAGATGCAAAATAACATTTGAATGTGTTTAATAAAGAGAAGGTAGATTTTAGTTTTGCTATGTTTTGTTAGTTTTTTAGCGATGTCGCTCTGCGCTGTCATATATATAATGTGGACATGTTAATCTTATGATCTATAGTGGATACATTGTATGCGCATTAATGGTCTGCCTTCTTATTTAAAATAAAGACTGATGATTTCACTTTTACAACAAATATCGGAATTCGATTGTCCTTTTATCTTTGTTCTAGCGTGCCATCGTATGTTTATGCATTGCAACATAGACATATCCTTTATATTGTTTATTGATTGTTGCCGTTGTAGTTTTGCTATGTGTGCGAATCTTCACAAGTATGTGTGTGGGTGCATTACACAGGGTCCCCACAGCCCTTGAAAGTCCTTGAATTTTGAGCTTTGTCATTGAAAGTCCTTGGAAATAGGTCCAAGTCCTTATTTTATGTCTAATGTCCTGGAAGTTTACATTTTTGACCTAATATGAAAAGCAAATCTTCATTGCTGGTTATCTGACTGACCCTCTTCCAAGTCTTCGATGAAAATGTTAAATTTAATCCAAAATTCACATGTCACTGTCTACTAATGTACTCTACCAAAGTAGTTTGTTTTGTCCCTAATTTTTACGTGCAGGTGGTGTAGGGATCTAGACTATAAGTTCATCATTTTAATTTTGATTTATTACTCAGTGTTCATATTTTGCTACACAATCGTGTCAATTTGTGTGTAGGATTAAAATACACACTGAGTAATAAATAAACAATTATTATAATAGTCAGCATATAGTTATACGTTCCCTGCCCATGCCACCAAGAGGGAAACTAGTTTTAGCAGATACTGTTCTGTGAATTTTGGATTAAATTTAATATTATTTGTTATTTGTTATTATTTGTAAAGATTTGGGACAAGGAGAATATGGCCCTTAATGGTTTCTTCCATGGGTTGGAGGCTGAAGTAGATCTTTAATTTCACCAGCTCAGCAAGTACTATTAGCAAGAAATTTAGATAAAGTATAATATAAAATCGACGTCGTTGGTCACATCGCGAAGAGTCGCACGTCGTCGACGTCACGTTCACTTGTTCTCTCTCGCCGCGCAGGTTGACGGCGGAACCGGACGACACGAAGGGGTCGCGACCTTCGCTGAACTCGCTCGTCAAGCCGATGGGAAGCGAGACGGACTCGATGGCCGAGTACGGCGACGGCGAGGGCGGCAAGTTCAACGAGGACGGCTCGTTCATCGGTCTCTACGGCGGCGAGAAGAAGCCGAGGCAAGCAGCAGGCGACCAGCCGGCCGAGCAGCCGTCGGCGCTGTCCACGTTCGTGTGAGCGCCTCCTGTTGGCTCCTCCCCGCCGCCGCCGCGGCGCGCGGGGGAGGCCAGTGAGGGGAGGCCGCAGCCAGAGTAGATCGCGTGTCCTTCCTTCTCCTCGCCTCGCCTCCCCCTCGCGTTGCTAGCGCGTCACGAGGGAGAGGGACGAGAGAGAGAGAGCGGGGGGAGAAGGGGAAGCAAGGGAGCTAGAGAGAGTGATTCTCGGCCCCTCCCTCCATCCACATTTCTAGCGCGACACGAGGGAGAGGGGAGAGAAAGGAGGGAGGGAGGGAGAGGGGGAGAAGGTTAAGCGAGAGAGGGGAGGCTGCGTGAGATTCTCGGATCCTCCCTCCCTCGCGCCGCGCGGCAGCCTCCTCCTTGCGGGGGCGCGCGCGACTAGAGGAAGCCTTCTCGCTCCCTCTCCCGGATGTCTCGTGGCGGCGGTGCACTTCCGGCAGCTTCCCCCCGGGCTGCAGGGCTGCGTGCCCACGTGTCCCTACATTTACTCTGTATGCAGTAGCCGTAGCTTTACTAAGTGTTTACATGTACTATGCGCGCGATATGTGTGGGGTTAGATGGCAGGCGTGCGTGCGTTCCCACGTGCGTGCGTGCGTGTGTGCGTGCGTGCGTGCGTGCGTGTGCCATCACTGGCACGCCATCATCCGGTGAGAGAGAGAGCAGCAGCGGTTAACGCTGTTGCCGTAGCAACGCTAATAACAAATTGGGGGGCGAGCACCGCATTGTCCGCAGACTTTCGCGTAGTGGCGAGCACTCGTCGGTCGTAGTTTGCATTTTGGATCGGTATTTTCGGCAGTCACTCGTAATTAGTCCAGCTGCCGGTCTCTCACTCGCACGCGCGATCATACACCTTATCAGTACGCGTCGACGACGCCGTTGCCATGGCGACCGGCAACACCGGACACGGCAACCCCGATGTCGCTATGGCAACCAGCGCGGTCTCGTACGCTGCGCAGCTGGATGTTGTCATGGCAACCGATGCACTGTCAATCGGCCAGCAGCTGGACGTTATCATAGCAACCTATTGTCAATCGGCCAGCAGCTGGACGTTACCATAGCAACCTATAGGACGTCAGTGGGCAGCCAGTTGTTGACGTAGCAACCAGCACGCTGTCACGCAGCCCAGCCGACCACGGTCGGGCTTGACTGTAGAGTAATATATGTATATGTACGCGTGCGTGTCTTGCAACGTGTGGTTGTAATCTGTATTCACAAACATCCTTACACATAATAACTTATTAGATATATAGAAGATCGTTCTTGTCGTCTGTGTGTGTGCGCGTACGTGCGTGCGTGCGTGCGTGCGTGTATGTGTGTGTGTGTGTGTGAGTGATAAGAGATCACGGTGTAGGGAGGTGGGCTGTCGTGGTAAGCCTGGTGCTTATTGGTCAATTTGTAATAGTTCATTGTTATTTGCTACGCGTCTGTTTCTCGGAAGTTTGTCGTTAGTTTTATCGTCGGTGTCTTTACGTTGAGCTGGTGATGATGATGATTGATTGATTGATTGATTGATTGATTGATTGATCGATGAACGGGAAAAGCAGTTTTTTGCAGTTTTAAGTTGTGAATCATTCGATGTTCTGTACATATTAGGTAGCGAATAGGGGAGTCGTGCGTGCGTGCGGTTTAGCAATTTTTGTTACATGGCTTTTACTAAAGGGTTTCACTAGGTTGTGCTGCTATATGTAGAGAAAGAACTTTTTTGACATTGCGTTTTGAGTAGGTATATTAAGAACCTTTCCATATTGGGCAGGTTTGTAAGTCATCACGGAGCTATATATTACATTCGTATCATATGGTTGTGCTGTTGAAATCTTTGGCGCAGTGTTATATTTTAGACTGGAGCCATTTGTGTTTGACAGGAGTACGGTAAAACAAAAAGGAAACCTAGATAAATGCGCGTGCCAACAACAACGCGTTGGCATCTCTCGCGGACGTGTTTTTTGCGAAGTTTTTATTTTCGTCTTCTCTTGGCAGCGGCGTCCCCTCCCCCTCTGTCTCCTCGCAGTGTTAGGGTTGGTGTTGTTCACTAGTTATCCGGAAGCGAGAAACCCGCGCGATCGGGCACCAGCGCGCTCGTAACCACGGCGACGGGATGCTATCTGCGATCGGCGTGCCTGTGATGTGTCGTCACGGTGACGTCTTTCGGCTAAGCCGTGTGCTTGCGCTGCCTGCCTTAGGCTGGGTCAAAGGTGGTTGCTGCTGTAAGGGTCATGGCTGCCTGTGGCTAGCTGTGTCGGTGTTGTGTGTAAGCGTCATGGCTGGCTGCTGCATAGCGTGGGTCGGTGGTTTGTGTGTAAGGGTCATGGCTGCCTGCGCTTAGGCGTGGTCGGTGGGTTGTGTGTAAGGGTCGGCATGGCTGCCTGTGCTAGGGTTGGTCGTGTTGTGTGTAAGGGTCGCATGGCTGGCCTGCGCTAGGCTGGTCCGGTGGTTGTGTGAAGAGTCATGGCTGCCTGCGCTAGGGCTGGTCGGTGTTGTGTGTGAGGTCATGCTTGCTGCGCTAGGCGCTGGTCGGTGGTTGTGTGTAAGGATCATGCGCTGCCTGTGTAGGGTGGTCGGTGGTTGTGTATGAGAGTCATGGGCTGGCCTGTGGGCTAGGCCTGGTCGGGTTGTGTCTGAAGTCATGGCTGCTGCGGCCTAGCCTTGGTCGGTGGTTTGTGGTAAGAGTCATGCTGCCTGTGGCTAGGGTAGTCAGGGTGGTTTGTGTTGTAAGGGTCATGGCTGCCTGTGCTAGGGTTAGTCAGTGGTTGTGTGTAAGGTCCATGGCTGCACTGCGGCTAGGCTGGTCAGTGGTTGTCGTGTAAGAGTGCCATGGCTTGGGCTGTGCCTAGGCTGGTCGGTTGTTGTGTGTGAAGGGTCATGGCTGCCTGCGCTAGGCTGGTCGGTGTTGTGTGTAAGGGTCATGGCTGCCTGTGCTAGGCTGGTCGGTGGCTTGTGTATGCGAGTCATGGGCTTGCTGTGCTAGGCTGGTTGCGGTGGTTTGTGTATGAGAGTCATGGCTGCCTGCGCTAGGCTGGTTCGGTGGTTGTGTGTAAGAGTCCATGGCTGCCTGGCGCTAGGCCCTGGTCGGTGGTTGGTGTGAAAGGGTCATGGCTGCCTGTGGGCTAGGCTGGTCGGTGGTTGTGTGTGAGGGTCATGCTGCCTGTGCTTAGGCTGGTCGGTGTTGTGCTGTAAGGTGCATGGCGTGCCTTGTGCCTACGGCGTGTCAGTGTTGTGTGTAGGGTCAAATGGCTGCTGCGCTAGGCTGTCGGTGTTTGTGTGTCAGAGTCATGGCTGCCTGCGCTAGGCCTGGTCAGTGGTTGTGTGTAAGGGTCATCGTGCTGCCTGCGCCTAGGCTGGTAGGTGGTTGTGTGTAAGAAGTCACTGGCTGCCTGCGCTACGGCTGGTCGGTGGTGTGTGTGTGAGAGTTCATGGCTGCCTGCGCTAGTCTGGTCGGTGGTTGTGTGTAAGGATCATGCCTGGCCTGCGCTAAGGGTGGTCGGTGGTTGTGTGTAAGAGTCATGGGCTGCCTGTGCTAGGCTGGTCGGTGGTTGTGTGAAGAGTCGCATGGCTGCCTGTGCTAGGCTGGTCGGTGGTTGTGTATGAGAGAGGGGGCTCAACGTCAGCACCGCTCATCTATCATAACTTAGCCGGGCGGCGACGCGGCCCCAGCTTTCTCCGGCAGCATAGCGTCTATGCGTGGTTGTGTCGGCCGTGGCGTCGGGAATGAGCCGGGACGAGGGCGCACTAGTCTGTAATTCCCCCTCGGACCGGTCCGCGGGTGTACGGGGGCGCGCGAGTCATTCCCCCCGGTCACCCCCGGGTCCGGCGCGGTCGAGCAATGCTGGCAGCTGTTGCCCATGGTTACCGTCCGTTATTCATTCCGCTGTACCTGGGCCGTTGCCCGGCGTTACCATCTGCTGCGTATGGTTGTCGACGGCTGCTGCTGGCTGCGCTCGAATCGGTCGGTTGAGCGACCTTCCACACCCCCCCGCCCCCGCCCGCCCCCGCTCGCGTACGCTGGCTGTGATAATCTAGCATGCGCGCAGGGGCGGAGAGACGCGGCGCGGCGCCGGCCACGAGGGGGAGCCACGGTGCGATTCTCTACTATAGTAATCTCAAGCGCTCTAATCGGCGATGGCCGCGTGTGTGTGTGTATCGTGATGCCGCGCGTATAATGTTTACACAGCTTCAACGTTCGCTTGTTCACAGCTGCGCACCACGCGCGTGTGCGTATGTATGCGCGCGTGCCACGGTGGCGCCTCCTGTGGCCACTTTCGTTTGGCGTTGACTCGCCGTAACACGTTTTAATGATTGTGTTTTATTTTTTGAGAGAGAAAAACGTGTACACTGTTTTAGAGCTAGACGTGCCAGCGAGACTATCGGTTTGGAACTACATGTGGAACGTATATTATGAGTCGACACCTATTGTCTGAGCGAGATTTGTAAGGGAACGTTTCCTGCACGTAAAACCATCGTATTGTAGTTAAATGTAGCAGTCTGTAGGTGTCATCGCCTATTTCCTCTATCCTGGAAGTTCATAGCACTTTGTTGTAGGGCTTGCCAAGATGACGACGCCCGTCTGCCATAGGCAACCGATCGATCACCCGTCGCCGACGGGTGGTCAACGACCCCCATCTCGCCCTCGAGACATGTCCTGCTTTCATTGCCCAACTTCCTTTCATCGTATATATATATATATATGTATGTATATATATATATATATATATAGTAATGGTTTTTGGGGGTTTAGCAAACCACCTGTGAGCGGGCAGCCGCAACATCTGCAACATCTGAATGTGCATCTGTAGTAACATGTGCAACATCTGCATCTGTAGCAACATCTGCAACATCTGAATGTGCATCTGTAGCAACATCTGAGATCTGATCTGTAGGGCAACATCTGGCAACATGCTTAAATCTGCATGTGCTGTAGGGCAAAATCTGGCAAGCATCGGAGATGTGCATCTGTAGGGCAACATCTGCAACATCTGAACTGCTCTGTACGCAACATCTGGCGATCTGTAGCAACATCTTGGCACATCTGGCATTCTGTAGCAGCAACAGCAGCAGTAAGCGTAGCATCAACAGCAGCAACATCCTGTGATCTGCAGGCAACATCAACAACATCAGGCAACATCGTGCAGCAACAGCAGTAGCAATGGCAGTAGCAGCAACTGTCTGCATCTGTAAAGCAGCAGCAGCGGCAGGCAGTGGCAGCGCAGCAGCAGCAAGCTTGAGACAGTTGTCGCGCAACTGCGTTGAGACGAGCACTGGCGCGCCGTCCTCGTGCGTGTCGTGACAGCGTGTGCGTCGCCGACCTTGACCCAACCTTCCACCGCTATCCCGCTGCCGGCAGGTTTTTGCGTTCTCATCGATCGGCAGACATACCTCGCATCTATGGGGGTTTTTTGTATGGCGGTGCGCCATCACCAATTTGTGACTACTGATGCTACCGTACGTGCGTACACTCGCGATTCCGAGACCGAGGTCAAAGGTGGGTCAAAGGAGTCATCGTATATCTGTCGAGTGGCGAGCGAGTCACGTGCTCACCGCATGCATCGTGGGTAGAGCGTAGCGCTGATTGTGTATGTAACCGCAGCAATTGCAGGGGGCGGCCAGCGTGCCCCCGCGGGGCCTGCGACCTCAGGCGCACTGGCATGTATGGCGTCGCAAGCCATTATCGTTATTATAACCTTAGCATTTGTTATTAAATACTCAAAGTCAGAAAGCGCGGAAGGCAGATAACCGATCGATCGTGACGACAGCGCGCGATTTCTTAATTATTGATTATGAATCGAGATACCATTATCGCCGTCATGCGACGGCCGAAATCTACTTTTATAAACTAATCTGAAATGCGCAGGTTATTTCCCTCAAGCGACGCCCGGTGACCCTTTGGGTCACGGTGAAGGTTCGTTGCCCGTCGCGCAGCTGGCTCATGTAGCATTACTCTTCACTACCAGTATCGGGATCAGCTACGGTAAACACTGGAGCGTCTCGAAAGATGCAAATAACATTTGAATGTGTTTAATAAAGAGAAAGTAAGATTTTAGTTTTGGCTATGTTTTGTTAGTTTTTTAGCGATGTCCGCTCTTGGCGCTGTCAACTATAATAGATGTGGACATGTTAATCTATGATCTATAGTGGATACATTGTGACTGGCGCATAATGGTCGTGGCTCTTATTTAAATAAAGACTGATGTATGTTCACTTTTACAACAAATAGTCGAATTCGATTGGTCCTTTTATCTTTGTTTCTATGCGTGCCATCGTATGTTTATGCATTGCAACATAGACATATCCTTTATATTGTTTATTGCTTGTTGGCCGTTGTAAGGTTTTGCTATTGTGTGCGAATCTTCACAAGTATGTGTGTGGGTGCATTACACAGGGTGCCCTGCCCAGCAGCCCTTGAAATTGCCTTGAGCTTTGTCATTGAAAGTCCTTGGAAATAGGTCCAAGTCCTTTATTTTATGTCTAATGTCCTGGAAGTTTACATTTTTGACTCTAATATGAAAAGCAAATCTTCATTGCTGGTTATCTGACTGACCCTCTTCCAAGTCTTCGATGAAAATGTTAAATTTAATCCAAAATTCACATGTCACTGTCTACTAATGTACTCTACCAAAGTAGTTTGTTTTGTCCCTAATTTTTACGTGCAGGTGGTGTAGGGATCTAGACTATAAGTTCATCATTTTAATATTTATTTATTACTCAGTGTTCATATTTTGCTACACAATCGTGTCAATTTGTGTGTAGGATTAAAATACACACTGAGTAATAAATAAACAATTATTATAATAGTCAGCATATAGTTATACGTTCCCTGCCCATGCCACCAAGAGGGAAACTAGTTTTAGCAGATACTGTTCTGTGAATTTTGGATTAAATTTAATATTATTTGTTATTTGTTATTATTTGTAAAGATGTGGGACAAGGAGAATATGGCCCTTAATGGTTTCTTCCATGGGTTGGAGGCTGAAGAAGATCTTTAGTTCCACCAGCTCAGCAAGTACTATTAGCAAGAAATTTAGAGAAAGGATCGCTCTCATTGAAATAATGTGTAAACAACTATTTTTTACTTTATATATGAATCTAATTAAGGTATATATGATGACTCTAAAATGCTAAAGCTACTTGTCACAGATTGTCCTTGAAAAAAACGTCCTTGAAATGTCATTGCAAAGTCTTTGAAAAAATAATTCACACTTGTGGGAACCATGTACTGAGTACCTAGCAGTAGCAGTAATAATGTACCATATAGAATCAACCATCACGAAAAACCAAGAAAATACCAATAACCTGGACCAATAATACCTTTTCATTTACTATCTGGTCTTCTAGCTATTTCTGCTATGTCTATCTATTTATATAGTACTTTAATCTATATCCTTTCATCTTATATTCTCTCGGGAATAAGTGATCCCCCTCTCCCAAAAGATATCGCTTACGACCAGGCACCTCGTTAGCACGGTGAATTTTATTAAAGAAAATGGCTGGTTTTCAGCCTCAACTTTTTCACCGCACCCCCCAAAGCACAAAATATGATTATACGGCTATAATACGAGTTTTTACAGTCACACAAGCACACATACACACTACACACACGCGACCGGGTGCACACATGCGGGTATGGTTGCACGCACGCGTGCGCGTGTATTATAGGCGTAAATTCACATTTTGTGCCTCGGGGGGGGGGGTGAAAAAGTTTCGGCTGAAATACGGCCATTTGGCTGGCTAACTTTTCACCGTGCAACTGGTGCCGTGGGCGATACTATCCCCGAGAGGAGGAGGGGAATACTGAGGGGAAGGGAGTGAGAGGGGAGGAGGAAAGAAAGAAGAGCGAATAAAGAGAGAAGGAGGAATGTTCACAGTTCACAGTGAAAATAAACTGCTTTTCACATTTCACAGTGAAAATAATGCTCTTTTCACATTTCACAGTGAAAATAATGCTCTTTTCACAGATCACGGAGATAATCCAGTTTACAGAAGGCTAGGAACCTGTCTACTAACGTCATCATCCTCATTACTCCTCATTACTCCCCTGATCATCTCGCGAAAGTTTGGACTGCGGAAATGAACTACGCGGAATCTACGCGGGCATGATGGGGATCGAATGATGATCAATGATCTGAATCTGTACATGACATGCATAGCAGGGGCGGATCCAGAGCTGAGGCTAGACAGTATTTTTCCAGATTTTAAGGGCACATCCCCAAAAAAGGGACACCACCCCACAGTGAGCGCCGTTAGGCGCGAAGCACATAGCGGAGGGTCTGGGGGGCCTCCCCCAGGAAATTTCAAAATTTCAAGGGTTCCTGGGCACAAAAATGAGCACCATTTGAGCAGACATTTAGTCAAGCAACAATAGCTAAAAACCATATAGAATTTTCATTTTGCCTGCGCTTTGCATACCAGCAA